GTCCCCATCCCTGGAGGTATTTAAAAGACGTGTAGATGTGGTGCTGGGGGACATGGTTAGTGGGTGGGGGTGTTGGGTTGACGGTTGGACTCGATGATCTTAGAGGTCTTTTCCAACCTTTATGATTCTATGATTCTGGGCTCTGCAGGGAAGACGACGAAGGGGGTTTTCTGCTGTCATCTGTTCCAAATTACGGCAGCTTCAGGGAGCTCTTTGGCCAGTTTCCACCACAACTCGCCAGCTCCCAAACCCGTGCAACTGGGAGGTGGGGCCTCGTGGTGGTAGTGGCCAGGGCACCGTGCATCGCTCTCAGAGGACCCGGGCGAAGGGACGGCGCAGCCACCACCCTCTGCTCCTGCTCTGCCGGGGACGGGCTGCCCCTCGGTGAGTAGCCTGTTCCCACCGGGCGCTCCAGGGACAGCTTCAGCGGGACCAGCGTGGGGGGTGAGAGCAGGGATCACCCGCGCTCCCTAAATCTCCTGAATTTCATCTGCTGCTGAGAAAAAGGGGTCTGTGCCGGGGGTGGGAGCTGGAGATGGGCTTTCGGGTGTCACCCAGCCGGGAGCAGCGGAGACGGGTGTTTTGCAGTGCTTTTGCCCCCCCGCATTGAGCTGGGGCTGCGAAGGGACGGGTGCTGGCATCGTGAGCCGCAGAGCTGCGGGGCAGATGTGTGGGAGGGGGATGCTGGCCACAGCTGGGCAGATCGCTGCATCCCTACCCACAGCTCCTCTCTCTGCTCCTGTCCTGCCTTCTTACCCCTTCTCAGCCTGCATCTCTCAGCCTGCATCTCTCAGCCTGGCCCCCGTGCACATCTACTAGTATCCTGGTTGCTCTGAGTTTGCTTTACAGCTCTGCCAATGCCCTTTAGCCTGCCTTGTACCGTAGCTCCTCCAAACTAGATGCCTCTCAACTCATTTTTTGCATCTTTGGGTGTTAAGACACACTAGCCGGGGAGGGCTGTGTGGAATCATTGGTTTTACAGCTTAAGTGCTAAAAAGTCAAGTGTTAGGCAATGCCGCATCCATTGCACCCATGGGAGGTGCATGTCTCAGCCCAGCTCCCGGCCCCGCTGTGCTTGGGGGGTGCAGGAGTGAGTGAAGGGAGCCCGAGCCCAGCCCTGCCTTCTCAGCAGGGTCTGCGGCTCCCAACTTTGCTTTACAGGTGGATGCGTCGCAATGACGGCGAAGAAGAATCAGACTCTGCAGAATGGAAGTGCCAAGGTGGGTGCAAGAAGAGGGAGAGAGAGGAGGGCAGAGGTGTGCCAAGGGCGCCAGGTAGCTCGTCCCGGCTCTGCGTACGAGTCACATCTGACGCTGTCCCACGTGTCCCCCTGTTATCTTTATATGGATGTTTACCTGCACTAATATAGAGCATCATCAAAGGGAAAGGATAAAATCTTTTGCATACTTGAAATTAAATAGTTCAGAGTCAAGGAAGTTAACCCTGGGTGATGCAGGCCCTCGGTGATACCTGCTGGCAGTGCCTGTCCTTCACCTGTATCCCCACTGTGGACCCCAAACCTCCAGCAGTCATGCTGCTATGGATGCAGCGCTGCTCTGAACAGCTAGAGCCCCCGGGATTGCTGAACTGCGGGCAGTTGTGAGAGGCCTGGCTCCACGTCAAGCCAAAATTAGCACAATGCAGCACAAAACAATATAGTTTTTATCAAACATGCCAATTCATGGTCCGGTTGTGGTCACAAGTGGGACGTGAAAGCCAGACTCAGCCTCTCGCCACCGGTGATCAGGGGAAAGCGCAGCTTTTTCTTCTGCTCTGTCCTGTGCAACCCAAAGAGCACTTGCCTCATGGCTGCTATGACGAGCCAACGTTTGCCCCGTTCCTCCCTTGGGGCTGCAGCATGTCGCTCGGTTGTCTCACCTCGCCAAGTGGGCGCCAGGCGAGAGCAGGAGCGGAGGGTTGGAGCTGCAGGTTTATCCTGCACAGCCAGCTTTGAGGGACCTACCTCCAGCCGTGCATCTGGCACTGGCAGCACACACAGGTGTCGGCTGTGCTGGTTTATACTGGCATTCCACATCGCCCATGCTAGCAGGGTGTGGGGACGCAGTGCCTTGCTGCCTCGGAGAGCTCTGGTGCCCTCTTCTTCAATGGCTCCTACCAAAGCCCTTTGTGCCATCAAGGACAGACCCACTTCTCTCCCCTTCTCCTTTTTGAGGTCCATGTCCCTTACTTGTCACAGTGGTGACAGGACAGACAGGACAGAGGTGCCACATAGGCAAAATGGACTTTGCTGGTCCAAGGACAGGAGCAAGGGCTGGGTCAGATGGAAGAAGCAGCAGAGCAGGGTGGAAAGTCAGAGGGAGCGCCTGGACAGTCAGGCTTAGAAGATGGGGGGGGGTGGGGACCATCACCCCTCCGACACTGCCTGTGGTGTCCCTGCTCCTCCAGCGGCAGCAGCCAGCCTGCTTGTCCATGGTTGTGCCATACGCAACATAGCTGGGAGGCCCTCAATGGGGTTCGAGAAATGCCCTCCTCCTCCAGCGTGAGCTGAGGTCCTCTGTGGTCACTGCAACACACCAAATGCCACCGGTGTGCGGGCGATGGGGTGTTCCTCGGGAATGGCTGTTGGCTAACCAATGCCTGTCTGCCATGCGCAGGAGAATGTGCTGCAGAGGGTCCTGCAGCTGCCGGTGGTGAGCTCGACCTGCGAAAGCCTCCAGCGGACCTATGCCAGCACCAAGGAGGCCCACCCACTCATGGCCTCCGTGTGTGAGGTCTACGAGCGGGGCGTGCAGGGTGCCAGCGCCTTGGCCATGTGGAGCATGGAGCCTGTGGTGCGCAGGCTGGAGCCTCAGTGTGAGTCCATCCACTGGGGGGGACATGGCGGGGGGGAGGCACCAGAGCCTCCCTTGGTGGGACAGCGCTGGCACTAGCACGTGAGACCCCCTAGCACAGCCCGGGAGCTTTTCTTACTAACCCACCCCCATGCTTTCGCCCAAGGCAGTCGCTGTGGCTAACGACCTGGCTTGCCGGGGCTTGGACCACCTGGAGGAGAAGATCCCCGCCCTCCAGTACCCCGTCGACAAGGTAAGTCACAGGCAGGACAGTCTGGGACCCCCCGGCCCCTCTGCAGAGCCCACAGCACGTCACCTCTGGTCTTGTTTCTGGATGGTGATGGGCTGCTCAAGGGGGGAACAGGGCAGCACCTCCAAGCAAGGACTCCTCCAGGGGTACCTGCAGCCCAGGGGATGGTTGGGGCGCTCCAAATATAGGGCAACAGCGTCCTATGTCCCATCTCTGCCAGCTAACTCCAGCCCAGGCTGGAGAGAGCTTTTATGCCCCTCTTGGGGCTGTCTACTGGCATGGCCATGGCTGGGGTCCCCATGGTCCCTCTGGCTGTCCCATGCCACCCCAAGCACACCAGCAGGGCTGTTCTCCATCTCTCTGCCTGCAGCTCGCGTCTGAACTGAAGGGCACCATCTCCTCCCCACTCCAAAGTGCCAGAAGCACCATTGGCAACTCCGTGGATAAGATCATGGAGCTGGCAGCAGAGGGCTACGAGGCCACCAAGAGCACGGTGGAAACGACAGCAAAGTACACGAGGAGGAACTCGGTGAGCCAGATGGCAGCCGCAGGGGTCGACACGGCCCTGGGAGGGCTGGAGAAGCTGATGGAGTACCTGCTGCCAGAGGAGGATGAAGAAGCAGGTAGTCCTGATGCCCAAATCCCCTCTGAGGGTGTCTGGGGAGGGCTGGCTGCACGTGGCAGGAGGAAGCCCCTGGATTTTGGTGCAGGGCTGCCTACGAGGGTTGTCCCACCAGGACATAAACCCCCCAACCATTCTTCTGCCCATGCTCTTCTACCTTTAGATCAGAAGCCCAAAGAGACGCGTGGGTCAGCAGTAAAGGTCTCCCAGCAGCAGGCCAGCACTCCCAGTGCTCCCAGCACTCCCAGCACCCTGGGCCGGATTGGCACCTTGGTTAGCACCGTCTCCCACCGCGCTTACCAACAAACCACCCAAAGCCTCCAGCGTGCCAAAGCCAAAGGGCAGGAACTGGCCACCTGGATCCCCATCCTGGTGAGTGCCAAAACCCACCCGCCAGGTTCCTGCTCCCTCATACCCTCTTTTGGGCTGATTCTGCTTTTGGATGAGATGTTTCAGGCTCCTTGGAGCACATGCAAGAGCGGAGTGGTGGGCGCTGCTGGTTCCCCCGCTCAGCAGGACAAGCTGGGGCCAGCAGTTCCCGTGGCACGTTTACACACAACCTTGTACCGTGTTAGCAGGATGACTTATTTTTAGTTAGCTCCCAATGTATATTGTTGATTTATGGCCTTGCCATAACATCCTCCCTAAAGCAAAAAGCCCCCCCCAGAGGCCCGGAGGGGATGGGGAGGAGGAGGTGCCTCTCCTCTCCCACCCGGCGCTGCGGTGGGAACCCCTTCCCTGGCCTGTGCCAAAAGCCTGGAGCTCCCAGCTGCCCTTGGGATTTCTTCCTACGTGCATAAATGAACCCCTCTGCTCCCTGTGCACCCCAGGGCCCCCCGTGAAGTCCTCGGGCTAAGCAGGATGGGGTGGATGGGATCTGCCAGCACCCCCTGAGCAGTGGCTTTCTGCTCCCCTTCCAGGGCAGCTTGGCCAAGCCAAGCGCCCCCGAGGCGCCGCGGGTCCACAGTGATGGGCAGAGCACCACGGCTGGCTGGCTAAGCCAGCAGCAGAGCAAGGTGCCGGAGCAGAAGCAGGAGAAGGCGGGGAAGAAAGACAACCACCACACCAAGGAGGTATGGAGGAACGGGGAGCAGTGAGCCGGGAGCGCCCCAAAGCACCCCACTGCCCATGGACCGTGCCAGCATGGGGGATGTTCTCCTCATACCCTTAGGGACGAGGCCCCCGTCCCTGCTGAACCCTGAACTGCATCTTGGAGGAGGCAAGGGGGGGTCCTGACTCCCCAAAGCTGGGGGCTGTGGGCAGCCTCTGCGCCGGGCAGGGTCGCCCTAGCTTATATATTCAAGACTCCTTTGCTGCTGTGAGGTGTCAGCAC